AGAATAAAAAATCTCGAGACTCCGATTTTTTCTTCTTTTTTTAGAAGTAGCAATCTCGGGGATAATTGTGTTTTGCTTTTAGAATTAGCAATTTGAGGGCCCAAATGTGTTACGATTTTAGGAATAGCATCAACCAGAATAAAGAACAGGGAGATCGCGATTTTATTACGTTTTAAAAAGAGCAATTTCGGGAGATAATTGTGTTTCTCTTTTAGAAGTAGCTTTTAGAAGTAGCAATCTCGGGCGCTAGCTATGTATCGATTTTAGACAACAACAGGATCAAAAACCTTGCGATCCCGATTTTGCTTCGCTTCTACTAGTAGTAGCAATCTCGCGGGATTATTGTATTTCACCTTTAGAATTAGCATTCTCAGGGCTAATTGTGTTACGATTTTACTAACAGCAATATCAAAGGATAATTGCATTTTGCTTTTATAAGTAACAATCTCTGAAACTAATTTTGATTCGATTTTAGAAATAGCACGCATCAGAGCAATGTCGGGGCGTAATTTTGTTTCGTTTTTAGAAGTAGCAATCTCGGAAGCTGCTTTTGTTTCCAGTTTAGAAATAGCATACAACAGAATAAAGAACCTCGAGATCCCCATTTTCTTCCTTTTCAGAAGTAACAATCTCGGAAGCTAATTATGTTTCAAATTTCGATATAGCACATAACAGTATAAAGATCTGATTTTGTTTCGTTTTTAGAAGTAGCAATCTCGGGGGCTCATTTTGTTTCACTTTTAGAATTAGCAATGTCAGGGGCCAACTGTGTTACGTTTTTACCAAGAAAGAACCTCGGACCCCGATCTTCTTTTTTAGAACTAGCAATCTCGGGGCGTAATTTGGTTTCGATTTTAGAAGTAGTATTCTCAGGGGATCATTTTGTTTCACTTTTAGAATCAGCAAATGTGTTACGATTTTAGAAATAGCATGAAACAGAATAAAGAACCTCGAAATCCCGATTTTGTTTCGTTTTTAGAAGTAATAATTTCTATTATAAATATAGCATACAACAGAATGAAGAACCTCGCGATTCCAACTTTGTTTCGTTTATAGAAGTAGAAATTTTGGGGGTAATTCTGTTTCACTTTTAGAATTAGCAATTTCAGGAGCCAAATTTTTAGATTTTAGAAGTAGCATCAAACAGAATAAAAAACCTTGAGAACCCGATTTTGTTTCGTTTTTAGGAATATCATTCTCAAGGGATTATTGTATTTCCTTTTTAGAAGTAGCAATCTCGGAAGCTACTTTTGTTTCCATTTTAGAAACAGGATACAACAGAATAAAGAACCTCGAGATCCCCATTTTCTTCCTTTTCAGAAGTAACAATCTCGGAAGCTAATTATGTTTCAAATTTTGATATAGCACATAACAGTATGAAGATTCGATTGTGTTTCTTTTTTAGAAGCAGCAATCTCGGGGGCTCATTTTGTTTCACTTTTAGAATTAGCAATCTCAGAGGCCAACTGTGTTACGATTTTACCAAGAAAGAACCTCAAACCCCGATCTTCTTTTTTAGAACTAACAATCTAGGGGCGTAACTTTGTTTCGATTTTAGAAGTAGCATTCTCGGGGGCTCATTTTGTTTCACTTTTAGAATCAGCAAATGTGTTACAATTTTAGGAATAGCATGAAACAGAATAAAGAACCTCGAAATCCCGATTTTGTTTCATTTTTAGAAGTAACAATTTCTATTATAAATATAGAATTTAACAGAATGAAGAACCTCGCGATTCCAACTTTGTTTCGTTTATAGAAGCAGAAATTTTGGGGGTAATTGTGTTTCACTTTTAGGATTAGCAATCTCAGGAGCCAAACTTTTAGATTTTAGAAGTAGCATCAAACTGAATAAATAACCTTAAGATCCCCATTTTCTTCAGTTTTAGAAGTAGCAATCTCGGAATGTAATTTTCTTTTGCTTTTAGAACTAGTAATCTAGAAGGCTAATTATGTTTGGAATTTAGACATACCTAGCATACAACAGGATAACGAGTCTTGAGGTTTCGATGTTGTTTCCTTTTTAGAAGTAGCAATCGCGAAAACTAATTTTGTTTTGAGCACATAACAGAATAAAAATCTCGAGACTCCGATTTTTTTTTCTTTTTAGAAGTAGCAATCTCGGGGGCTAATCGTGTTTCGCTTTTAGAATTAGCAATCCCAGGGCCCAAATGTGTTACGATTTTAGGAATAGCAATTTTGAGAAATAATTGTGTTCCGATTTTGAAAGTAGCAATCTAGGAGGCTAATTTTTAGAAAACAAATCTCGGGGACTAATAATGTTTCTATTATAAATATAGCATACAATAGAATGAAAAATCTCGAGATTCCAACTTTGTTTCGTTTTTAGAAGTAGCAATCTCAGGGTATAATTTTCTTTCGCTTTTAGAACTAGCAATCTCGGAGGCGAATTATGTTATGGAATTTAAACATATCGTACAACGGGATAAAGAATCTTGACGTCCCGATTTTGTTCCCGTTTTAGAAGTAGCAATCGCGAAGGCTAATTTTGTTTTGGTTTTAAGAACAGAACACATAACAGAATAAAAAATCTCAAGACGCCGATTTTTTTTTAGAAGTAGCAATCTCGGGACGTAGTTTTAATTCGTTTTAGAAGTAGTAATCTCGGGGATAATTGTGTTTCGCTTTTAGAATTAGCAATCTGAGGGCCCAAACGTGTTACAATTTTAGGAATAGCATCAAGCAGAATAAAGAACAGGGAGATCGCGATTTTATTACGTTTTAAAAAGAGCAATTTCGGGAGATAATTGTGTTTCTCTTTTAGAAGTAGCAATCTCGGGGGCTAGTTATGTTTCGATTTTAGACACAGCAAACAACAGGATCAAAAACCTTGCGATCCCGATTTTGTTTCGCTTCTATTAGTAGTAGCAATCTCGCGGGATGATTGTATTTCACCCTTAGAATTAGCATTCTCAGGGCTAATTGTGTTACGATTTTACTAACAGCAATATCAAGGGATAATTGCATTTTGCTTTTAGAAGTAGCAATCTCGGGAGATTATTTTGTTTTGATTTTAAAAACAGCACTTAAAAAACAAACTAAAGACCCAGATTTTCTTCCTTTTTAGAAGTAGCAATTGCGGGGCGTGCTTTTGTTTCGTTTTTAGCGGTAGTAATCTCGGGGGCTAATTATGTTTCGATTTTATACACAGCAAAGATCCCTATTTTGTTTCGTTTCTGGTAGTAGTAACAATCTCGGGGGCTAATTGTTTTTCACTTTTAGAATTTGAAATCTCCAGGGCTAAATGTCTTTCGTTTTTAGAAATAACATAAAACAGAATAAAAAATGTCTGCGTTTTGTTTTTAGAAGTATCAACTTCTAGGGTTAATTTTATTTAGATTTAAGAATACCAATCTAGGGGGCTAATTATGTTTCGTTTCGTGCATTAAAAAAACTCAAACTATATTTTTTTATGTTTTTACTTCGTCTAAGACTGTGTCCAGATTTGTATCAATTTTTTCAAAAGTTAACTCTGTATTTTCAACTAAAAAATATTTTATGACTTTCGAAGTTCAGTGTTAAGTAACAGTGAAATCAAAACCAGCGATAAATCGTTGTCAAATGTACATTATGTGTGATGAAGATAATTTGAAATCGATATATGCTTATACGTGAAACTGTTTATTCACTCTCAATTCAAGTTGTAAAGTTAATATAATTTTAATTGCCTTTACACCACGTTTAACAACGTTCCTAGTAATCTTTAATTCCGCTCACTGGGGGTTTCCCAAAGTAGACTAAGTGGGTTAATGTATTCATCATCCATATAAATGATCACGTCCGAGTTTTAGCACCTCTCGGAAATTAAGAACCACTAAGTACAAGCTCATGAACAATAAAATCCGAAAAATACGAGCTTTTAATTTAATTGCCGTCGGGCCCGCTGAGTTTAGTCCGGCACTGGTTATTACCGTTTTTAGACAGCGAGATTTTCTTTTCTGATGAGTGCTTCCCGCTTGACGGGTTTTGTAGTCGCAATGTATATAGTTATCGGAGAAATAATAAGAAATGTGTTACGACTGTTATTAATATTACAGCAGGTAGTTTGGACGTAATTACATAAATACCATTTAAATTATACGTTAAGTGGAAGCAGACGTAAATTAAATGTAAATGTAATACGTTACAACAAGCGTTCCAAAAATTCGGAGAACGTTCATTTTTGCAAGTTTAAGTTCATTAACTTTAATAAAATTCTTGTTGTGTAGAATTACACGCACAGTTTTAATTAAAAACAATTGGAGCTTAAAACACACTTGTTAATTAGTGTAACTGTTTTGGAGGTGAAAATGAGATAATTTATGTTTTTGTTTTAAATAATTCCGTTTTACTTTCTTCCATCATTATTGATTCTTCTATTATAACGCTTTCATTTATTTACTTCTTACATTTTTTTTTCGTACTCGTATATACTTTCTAACAAACATTTTGCACCTACTTATCATTCCACTTGTTACCACACTCCTTGTTATGAAGAACATGATAATTCATCCATTGTCAGATATTTATTACCTGTCGTTTCAAAAGAAACAAAAAAAAAACACACGACGAAGCCCATCTTTTTTGGACATCCATAATAAAATGAAAGTATTTTATGTATTTTGTTCGTGCAAGCATCCTGAAATTCCGCCGGTTGTACTCATACTTTATAAAGAAAGCCGCTCACTGCCTTTGTAAATTATTGTAATCGATATAAAAAGAACAAATTTTTAGCCATGGAAGAAAGCGGTCCAGAAAATTCGCGCAGACGAATAAAATTACAGTTAAAAGATTAACGATTTTCCGCGGTTATTAACACAGCCTTTGTTATTTCGGTTTAATGTCCATCAATATTGACTCTAACACCAAACAAGAATGACACAAATTATCTGTGCATATTTAACCACGAATTCTCGTTGCATTTAAATTTCCGTTGTAACTAATAAATTGTACGAAGGTTTCACTCATTGGTGACATTTTCGTCGCACTCCATGTGTCACTTTGACAAACAAAACTCGGCTATAAAAATAACCTAAATATTCCGGTGACACGAAAACCATGTCAGACGAAGAGATTTTTTATGATTCCCTTGAAGAAGACGCTTTTGTGAACGAAGAATCTTGTGAATCTTCGTTCGTTCCTCCCGTTACAGATTTAAATTCAGCTGTGCCTCTATACACTGGCGAAATCTCCATAAATCTACTCAATCCATCGAAAACAAAGAGAGTCGAAAAACCCCCAAAAAGGGTGATACAACCGGACAAAACCAAGAAAACTTACTTGACGATGTACTACGAGAAGAAATCTCGATTAGAAAGCAAGAGTGACACCGGAAGTAACACAAGCAGAGCCGTGTGTGAGACTCTATCGCCTAAACGAGATCTAGATCTAGAAGCAGACTTGAAAGAGGCGGAGTCGAGGTGCATTGAATCGGAGTCAGAACAAGACGAGTAAATTTTTAAAATAACGAAATTGGTCTCTGAGATTTTGTTTCTAGATTCTATGAAAACTTTATGAACTTAGAGTTAGCAAATAAGCAAGCTTCATCCTCGACTTCTGTACTAAACAACAAGAAAACTCAATCGCTGTCGACGCAGTCTTTGCTCCCGAAAACTACTTCAGAACGGTCGTTTTATTTCAATTCGACGAAAAACGACGCAATCGAAAAAGTATTTGTGAGTGTAGAGAGAGGTCGTAGATTATCGATTTTTTTTAGTTGGAGTTGCTGAAAAAGCGGCAAACTTATGGCATGAAGATGAGTCTGAAGAACAGAATTGAGATAGAAGAACTGAAAAAGTTGAAGAAGATTAAACATTCTAAAGTAGTTTAATTGTGACACAGAATTATAATAAACAATTACACGAATGATGACAGAAAAGTATTACTTTTAATTACTGAGTGTTTTTCTCCACGTTCCCCCTCTCCAAATTGATGACATCGTCTCAAAATTTTGCGTATTAAATCCTCTCTGAAATATGCAATAGTTTATAGAATTACTCATTTTAATTAAATCAAGAACAACTCACTCCACTTTTCCGAAAATTTGGGAATGCACTACTGCTATCATTAGTACTAAGATAAGATAAGGTTTATCGAGTTAATACAATACATCTATCCGTGATTAACGTGTTCTTGAAAAAATTTGATAACGTCATCAAAAAATTTTGCAAACACACTTGAAACCAACGCGTAGCATGCTTCTTTACGTTTACTTTAACATTACGTACAAATTTTTATTTATTTTAGTTATAAGAGTTACCATAAAACAATAAAATTTGCATAATCTTATAATTTTTCCAAAAATTTGGATTTATTTACCTTCGACCAATTTTTTGATATCGCGACTTTTTCAGCTTTAATGTTTCCAATTTTTCGATTTCTCGACTTCCAAATTTTTCGATTTGTTCAATTTTATAACTTTGCGATATTACAATTTTTCATTTTTTGATTTTTCAGTTTCCCAATTTTTCATTTTTCGATTTATCGTTTGCTTAATTTTTCAAGTTCTTGATTTTTATTTTTCATTTTTCCGATTTTTTTATTTTCTTTTTTTCTATTTTATAACATAATTTTTCGTTTATTTAATTTTTCAAATTTTTGATCTCTGACTTTTCAGTTTCTCGATTTTCCAAATTTAAAATTTTTCCATTTGCAATTTGAATTTTGGATTTCTCGTTTTTTCGATTTTTTAAATTTTCAAAGTTTTGTTTTCATTTTAAAGTTTTCCGTTTTTTCATTTTTGATTTTCCAATTTTGCAATTTTCCATTTTTTTGATTCGAAAAGTGGAAAAATTGAAAATGGAAAACTAAAAATCCGAAAAAATGGAAAAATCGAAAAACTGCCAAATCCAAAAATTGCACATCGAAAAACTGAAGAAACGAAAAATGGAAACAATGAAAAACTAAAAATCAAAAAAATGAATGAATCGAAAAATTGGAAAATTCAAAAATTTAAATATTTCACATTGAAAAAAATATAGGGTCAGAATAACAGAAAAAGTGAAAAAATTAAGAAATAAAAAACGAAAACGAAAAATCGAAAACTCGCGATATTCCAAACCGAAAAACTGGAAAAATTAAAAATTGGAAAATCCAAAAGTTGCAAAAACGTCGAAAAATTGGGAAATTTATAAATTGCATAATTAAAACATCGAAAAATTGGAAAATCGAGAAAACGAAAAGTCGAACTAATCCAAAATTGCTAAATTAAAAATTGAAAAATTGGAAAATCAATAAACGAGAAATCTAAACTTTAAAAAAATCAAAATATTGAAAAAACGAAAAATTGAAGAATCGAAAAATTCAAAACCGAAATGTCGAATAATTAGGAAATGAAAACAGAAAAATCGAAACAACGAAAGATTGGAAAAGCGAAAAACTCGAAAATCGAAATATCGAAAAATTTTAAAATTTTAACCAGAAATCGGAACATCTAAAGATCGAGAAATCGAAAAACTGAAAAATCAAAGAAAAACTGAGGAATCGAAAAATTGTAAAATCAAGAAATAGAAAAGTCGAAAAATCGAAATTTTAAAAAATCGAAAAATTGAAAAATCAAAAACCTGGAAAATACAGGCTTTGTAAAATCAAAAAATTAAAGAACTGAAAACCTAAAAAATCGTGAAATCAAGAAGTCGAGAAACTAGAACATCGAAAAGTCGAAAAATCGATTAATCGAGGAATAAAAAAACAAAAGAAAATTTAGAAACGTCAAAAACTGAAACATGGTAAAACGGAAATATCGGAAAACTGAAGAAGCGAGAAATTGAAGAATCGAAAAATTGAGAAATCTCAAGACTGAAATATCGAAAAATTGAAAATGGATAACTTGAAAAATCGAACAATTTAAAATTCGAGAACCTGAAAAATCCAACACTGAAATTTCTAAAAATTTTGGAAACCGGCCCTTGATAAATGAACGGAGTTTTCCGTTTTTTCATTTTTGATTTTTCTATTTGTCCATTTTTTTGGTTCCAAAAGTTGAAAGATCAAAAAATAGAAAATCGTGAAACTAAAAATCGGAAAAAATTGAAAAATCGAAAAACTGAAAGAACAAAAAACTGTACATCGAAGCACTAAAGAAACGAAAAATTGAAACAGTGAAAAACTAAAAAATCAAAAAAATTATTGATCGAAAAATTGGTAAAACCCAGAACTTGCTCAATCAAAAAATAATATATAGAATCTGCAGAATTGTAAAAGCGACAAAACTGTTGCACTGAAAGGTCGAAAAATGTAAAAATTAAATATTGAGAAATCGAAAAATTGAATAAAGCTAAGAATTGAAAAATTGAAATAAAAAACCAAAAATTATAAAATCGGGATATAGAAGAATCGAAAAATATACAAACAAAGAAAATAATAAACCGAAACGAAAGAACGCAAATTTGATAATATGAAGGAATGAAAAAATTAAAATCAAATCGAAAATTTGAAGAAATGAAAAACTGAAAAATCGAATAATTAAAAAAGTGAGGAAAATAAAAAACCGAAACGAATAATTGCAAATCGAAAAATTGAGAAACTAAAATTGAAAAATTGAAAAATTCAAGTCAAACAATCCGAAACAAATAATTTTTGTAATTTTTCAAAGAAGCAGGATTTGTTGAGGAACGAGGGAAATTTTGTCGAAATAACCCCGGCCCATTTTTTTGATTAATATAGATGAAACAATTAGCCGTCTATTTCTCACAACAGTTGAAATAAAACTACACGTACCTATTGAGTGCTTACCTTGTACGTGATACATCGATAAATTCTTAAAAGGATTCTTTAATCATCTAAATCTCACATTTATCAGTAATTTATCGATAATGATGCTGTTGCTAAAATCTCCCAATACTTTATTAGTTACACTCGTAACCACCGCAAAACTAGCTTTAACGAAAAGGTGATACTATGGGGTAAGTAAGTAACACCAAAAACGAAACCAAATTACTAATTTTACGATTTAGAGAAATCACCAAAGAACTGGTAGCAAAAACATTCGAAAACTTCCGTAGAAGTTACCGAAAAGTAGACCCAAATGATACCCTAGATCGCATCCTCGAAAGACAACTACCGAAAATCTGCATCAACGATACTTCCAAACTCATAATAAATAAAGTAAACGAAGTGCTAAGTGCGAAGTTAGTGAAAAACCTAAGTATAGAAGATCTACACACTTTGACATACTGTGGTGCTAAAACCGTCGCAGAACTGTGCGAACCATACCGTTTGGTCTACCACCAGTCCGAAATCCCAACCAAATTCCCAGAAGATGCAGACGGCCAGGAAACACTGTTTCGTCATAGCCCTCAGAGATTCCGTCGGTTATTGTTCAACGACCCGAGCGACAACCCTAGGCAACCATCAGAAGAAAACATCAAACAAGTCTGGACGGGACTGTGGGAGGAAGAAAGTCACTACAAACCAGAAGAAGCAGGTCAATATATCGAAGCTGAAACTGCGCGAATCGAAATGAAGAAAATCAGCACCAACTCTGACATACTAATGGCAGATTTGAATAGAGCTTTGAAGAAAAAGAAGAACTGGTCGCCGCCTGGTATCGACGGCGTGCAGACCTTTTGGTACAAGAAATTCAAACCAGTGAGGAAAGCTCTTCTTCAGAAGATCAACGACGTCATCAAAGGTAAACAGATGATGCCGGAATTCTTCACAGTGGGTTTCACAGAGTTGCACTCGAAAGGGGGAAACACAGAAGATGCTTCTAATTATAGACCAATCACGCATTTGCCTGCCATCTATAAAATAATCACAAGGTGTGTCTACCAGAAGATTTTTCAACACTATACGTGTTATAACATTCTAGCAGATGAACAGTGTGGTGGCCGGAAGGACTGCTACGGTATACGAAAAACCCTAGTTATAGATTCGGTTGCTTTAGATCAAGAAGAAGTCCAAGGTTACTACGTGGACTTCAAAAAGGCCTTCGATTCGGTACCTCACGATTGGATACTAAAAGTACTTCGAATTTACAAAGTCAATGAAGATCTCGTCACGTTCCTTGAAAAGGGAATGTCCAAGTGGAAAACTAGAATCTACCTCAAACCTAATATCCTCACCAGTACCATACAACTGAAAAAAGGAGTCTTCCAAGGTGATTCCACTAGTGTGATTCTCTTCTGGACCGCCATTAACCCTTTGTCCTTCGCCCTAAGAGCCACAAACGTAGGGCTCAAATTGCGCCATGGACCCACTTTATTATCCCACGTCCTCTACATGGACGATCTAAAACTCTACGCCTCAAACCCTGAAAACCTGAGGACAAATTACAACGAAGTCGAAAAATTCACCAGAGCCATCAGTATGATAATCAACGAAAAGAAGACTCACAAATTTTGGATACCAGAACGCATAAACACCAAAATGGAAGCAGTCTATCTTGGATACATCCAAAGCCCCAAAATCAAAAGCCCAGAAACCATATACCACAAAGTGCGAAATTTCGACGACAAATGCAAAAAAATCGCATCCGAAACGAAAATTTCCGAACAAGACAAGGCCAACTTCAAGAAGCAGTATATGTTTAATTCCATTTTCAACTCGTTCGGGACTCTTCATTGGAAGCTTTTCGAGCGGGAGTTGTTGAAAACTGAAGTGAAGGACAAAAAAATTTTGCCGCTTGTACAAGAACGAAATAAGGATTTGGCGGCGATTTATTTGAAGCTAATTACCGATATGTGTAAGATAAGGAGGACATTTATAGAAGAGAGTAGAAGGTCTGACTTTATTAAAAGTATTGTGGAGAATGATGTAACGCCGCTGCGGCTGTCGGTGAGAGATGAAAGTAAATACGTGAAGTTGGTCGTGGCCGAAATAAAGGAAAAAAAACAAAGAAAGAGAAAAGTTACTGA